GAAGTCCCCACATCTTAAAGTGGCCAAGTTTGAAAAACACTGATCCGGATAGCCTGAAGTCTCTGTCCTGTAAAATGGCTTGTTTTCACCCAGGAGGAAAACTCTGGGGGAGATGGGGGGCGTATAAATTTAATCAATAAATAAAATGAAAATAAAGAAGGTGGCCTTCTTGCTCTCTAGGCCTCCTCAGCCGCTACCCGGAGGAAGACAACGAGGCTTTCCCGCTTCCCGAGTCGGTCCCCGTTTTCTGCCTACCCATGGGGGCCACCATCGAGAGCTGGCCAGCCGACACCAAGTACCAGCTACCCGTGTTCTCCACCTTTGTGCTGACGGGCGCTTCGGGGGACAAGGTACCGTGATGCCGAGGGAAGGGGCTTCCCTTGGGCCAGTCTAGATGGCGCCACGAAGCACAGATGCCACGTTGGGGGTCCCCACCTGGGCTTCTCTGAGCTGGAAGGCGGTTCTCCCGTTTTCCAGGAGGGCACAAAACCTGTGTTTCGTTTGGCACATACTTTGGGCCCATAATATCCACAACCTCAGCGTCAGCCTTGTAGAAATCGATGTTAAGGCTTTACCCCGAAGCGTCTCTGGATGTTCTTTGCCATGTTGAAACATGGAGCTGCCCATTTACCCAAGGCTCCCCCACCACCCGCCGGGTCGCCTAGAGCCTCTTCGTGCTCGCCCGAGGTGACTAGCTGGTTACCCCTTCGGCAGGACGGGGCAAAAGGGGTTGCTTGGCAGCCGGGCATCTCTGAATACGTTTTGCTGCGTTCAAATGAAAGACCCCCCCTGACCCGCTCACTTAGATCCTCTTGCCGCCCGCCCGAGGTGACCGGTGGCTGGAGCGACCCAGGGCCTCTCTTCCCCCCAACCCAGGTTTACGGGGCTGCCATGCAGTTCTACGAGCCGTTTCCCCGGGAGCGCCTCACTGACCGGCAGTCCATGTCCCTCAACCTGCTGACCGTGGTGGACCGCCGCCCCATCACCAGCAAGTCCGTGCAGACCCGCAAGAGCATCTGCGTGTTGTCCCACTGGCCGTTCTTCGACGTCTTCCGCAAATTCCTCACTTTCCTCTACCGCTACAGCATCTCGGGGCCCCACGTGTTGCCCCTCGAGGCGTAAGTGGAGGATGGGGCCGGAGAGGTGGTCCTGGGAAGCCCACGGGGCGGGCGGGGAGCATGAAGAAGCCGGCCCTCCTCTCTGGTTCGTGCTCCACCCGCTGGCATTCTCAGGTAGACTGCCCGTGGCTGTGGAAGTTCCAGTCCAGGCCATCCTAAGGCTTCTCAAGTCCAAATGCATGCAGTGGCCCAACCGTTGTTCCTCGGATGCCTGCGTGTCGTATCTATCATCATGGCAGTGGGGGGTGTCTTGTTATTTTCAACCACCCCCTCCCTTCCTTTCCGGTGACTTCCCTGTTGTTTTTCCTAGGCACGTGTCTCATTTCATGCACAACGTCCCCTTCCCGTCTCCGCAGAGGCCTCGGATCCTGGTCCAGGTAAGTGGGACCCAGGGGCCCGATCTGTAGGTGGCATTTGGGCGTTGGCATTCGTCAGTCTATCTCCAGGCGGGTTTTCGGAAACAGGAAAATCTCCCTGCTCTGCCCATGTTCAGTTTTAAGGGGGGGAAAGGAACTTGCTTATCCTGCTGACGTCTAAATGACCATTTCTGGAGGCTAAATTATTGCTGCTATATTATTATTATTATTATTATTATTATTATTATTATTATTATTATTATTATTATTATTATTATTATTA